CTGAGCTAAATCCCCAGCCCCTATTTCAGTTTCTTTTTAATCATTTGCATTTATATTTTAATTTACATTTTGTGACGTTTACTTATTGCTTTTCATTAACAAATATTCTTTGCTTTTCCTTCTTTCTCATTTTTGTTTTTTGTACTGGGAATCAAACTCAGGACCTTAACCATATTCTTTGAGAAGTGATTGGATATTGGTCTAGAAATATAATTATAAACAGATTGGTTTATACAATTACTTTGAAATCAACCTCAAAAAATATGAAGTTATAGAGCCTTTATAAGTACATAGCTACCTTTGTAATTCTTTCCCTTTCTCTCTCATGTGTGAATTTTTCAGTTGGGGGTGCTACTTGTCTTCACGCTGAAGAAAATCTTCCAGTTTTCTATGAAAGACTGGCATGCTAACAACCAATTACCTGAATTTTTATTTAAATAGAGATTTTTTGCTTTCATTTCTGAAAGACAATCTAAAAGTATGTGGAACTCTTGCCTGATATTTCTTTTAGTATTTTGAATATACCATCATATTGCCTCTGTCACTCATTACTTCTGATGGAGAATCCGCTGTTATTCTTACTGGGATTAACCTGTACAATTTTGCTAAAATTGAATTTTCCCATTTTTATGAGTTTTCAACACAGAACAGAAGAGTCTCAAACTAAATGATATATAATTACAATACAATATTTGTATTGCATGACATAGGCGGCCAAAACCATTCATCTAATAGGAAAAATATTTTACCTCAAATTTTGTTCTTTCATGAAGTAATTACCACAGCCTGCTTTATAAAATCCTCCTTCCCCCTGTCCCTTCCCCTTCTGGCTCCTGAATCACCTTTTTCATACCTGTTGATACTATTTGCTTAGTGCCCGTTATGGCTTCCAATGTTTATATTGATTTGCAGTTGTTAGGATCCTGTACATGGCATATCTTTATTTCCATCCATCTTTTATTTTTATTTATACTCTCCAACACTCAAATAAAGGATACCATATGTATTCAAAACAATTATATCTTCTTATAGATAATATAAATACTCCAATTTATACTGATTTTCCCATATTGTAAATTACCCTTCTTTTATCAGATTTTTCTCCAATTAGGTGAATCGTTTTGACTGCTGTATATCCTGCAACAGGTTTATTTCACAAATATTGTATTGTAATTATATAACAATTACTTTGAGACCCTTAAGATTCTATATAAAATTCAATTGCAGAATGGCACTGTGTTAAAGAAAGTACATTGTTTGATCATGATACTTTGTGTAAAATGTTGTAAATTGTACAGTTTTTTTGTATATTTGTTGAATATGAATATCTGACTGGATTTGAGGAAAATACACCACTTGAGGCAAATGCTGATTATTTTTAAAGGAGATTGTCTTCTGGCTATGTTATAATTTTGTGCTCTTAATATTGCTTGTGTTTACAACTGAAAATTATTTTATTCTGCTAAATAAAGATCTTTGTTACAAATGTGGATTAGTGAAGACAAAAAAAGAGTAGGGATTGTTATGGTTGATACATTGTGTCAACTTGGGGAGTCTAGAGGTTTGGCTAAGTGACTCAACAGGAAGCCAGGGTGCTTACTTTGTATACATCCTGAGCCTGTGGAAGAGGAGGGCAAAGATTATGTGAGAGCTACATGCCCCTTAGGTGGGGGTAGCCTGTTTACAAAGTAAGACAGGGAAAGAAGCTGCTTGGGGCCATCCTGCCATTTGCTCTGGCTGCATTGCTGTTCGGCTGCCATTCCCCCTTGCTCTCGTTGCTTTGTTATCTTCTGCCTTGGAGCCAGCCAAGTATGGACTGAAACCTCCACAAAGTGTAAGCTAAATAAATCTTTCCTTCCTTCATTTTGGACGTTGGGTATTTTGTCTCACCAACGAGAGAAAAGTAACTAAGACAGAATTTGGTACCAGAGGAGTGGGGTTGTTGCTGTGACTATACCTCACCATGTGGTTCAAGAGCCTTTGGAAATGGCTTGTGGGAAGAGTTCTGAAAGGTTCAGAGATGTCGCCTGAAAGAGAAGCGCTAGAACACCTCCGGCTGTTCTGTCTGGGAGATTCTGGGCAGAGCTCAGAAGACCTGAAGGCTGATAGAAAGCGTGCCAGTAAAGACCAGGTTCAGGA